CATTTATTCATTACTTCCTAGTAACAAGCTGCTGCTTTTTTTTATCCTTTCATCCCAGGCCTCCCACAACCTGGTCTCCCCCTCTTGGTAGTTCTACTGCCACTTAATTGCCTTTTTTAAGAGTACATCAAATCAATTTCCTTTACCAGAAACACATGTGACATGTCCTGGCTAATATCTGGATAGTTTAAACCCACTATAATCATGTTTCCATTTTTTTTTTTGCTTTTTCAGACATATAGAACTTTCATTTGATAGCATTTAATAACTGCTAGATTTTTAATTTGTACTATATAAAGGCAAAAAAAAAACAAAACTTTTTGAACAAAAAACTGTTTCCCTTACTTTCTGTAACAAAATATATCAAATAGAAATGGCAGGAGAGTACGAATCCCCCTGAAATGACCCCTTTTTGGAATGTATTGAAATGGGGAGCATGGACTAGATACAGTGTATCATTAAATGTAAAAGTCATACACAGAGGTGACATTCAGAAGTACAAGAGATTAGGGGGAGGTAAAAGGATTGTTCTTTTATTTTCAGATGTACAGTATACTGTACAGTGCAGCAGTGGCGTAACAAGCGGGAGGGCAGCCGGTGCGCTGGCCCCGGGCGTAAAGCTGAAGGGGGACGCCGGCTGAAAATGGCACTTTTGGCTAAATGCTGAAAGTGCCACCTTCCTGCCGTTTTGTCGGCGCAGCCGTGATTTCTTTCCTCCCCGCTGGGCGCTGCTCTTTGTCCCAGCAGGGAGGAGAGAAAGTGACAGCCGGCCGAGCGCTGCGGGAGGAGACCGCCTTGAGTGGCCGGTGTCTCCTCCCACACCGCTCAGCCGCCTATAACAGTCCGGCAGACCGGTGTGGGGGTGGAGACAGCCCACGCTGTCACAGGAGGCTGGGCTCTCCCCGTGCACTGCTCGCTCAGCCTCAGGGCCGTCTTTAACGCAGGGCAAAAGGGTCAGTTGGCCAGGGCCCAGTCATTGCTGTGGGGCCCAAAGCAGCTGCCCCTTCAGCCCACATAAGATATACACGTGCAGGGCTGGCAGCCTCACCTGTGTAGGCAAGGGGGCTTGCACCAGCCTTGCCTCCTGTCTGTGCACACGGCGTCGGAGCTCTACATAGAGCACTATAGACGGCACTCCGGGATCCGCCCCCTATCAACTTGGCCCTGCCCCTGCTTCTCTCTGTACTCCGTGCTCCTGTGTGAGCGTGCCTGCTGGGAGCCTGCACCGTGCCCTGAGCTGTCACTCCTGCTGTGTTCCCTCTCTACATCTTCACACCAAGTAAGTGCCCATATATGCCACAGTATATGTATGCAACAGATACATATACTGTGTGCAATACATTCATATGTAGAGCAGATTTCTGATATTGCTTCTGTTCAATCCATGTTGCTGAAGCAGGATTGATAATTTTTATAGGACATGTCATCAAGTTCTATGGCTGCAGCAAAGCTTCCTGTGCTTTCAATACTAGGGATGCACCTATAGATAATTTAACAAACAGCATATGTGCTATGGAACAATAAACCTATTAGCTGCCATGCTAAAAAGTGTAAATAACACCTAAAAAATGAATTATAAAAGTGCACTGCGCTTTATAGACCAACTAAATATACAATCTAATGATAATCTACCTGTGAAATAAATATAGAAATATGCAGAATCACCTGTCTCTTCTCTCTCTCCTGACTGTCTCTTCTCTCTCTCTCCTGACTGTCTCTTCTCTCTCTCTCCTGACTGTCTCTTCTCTCTCTCTCTCTCTCTCTCCTGACTGTCTCTTCTGGCTC